GCGGCGGATATACCCTGTTCCGGGGCGGAGCCCCCCGATGGCCCTGGCACACGAGTCTGAGATGGTGAGCGTTTCTCTGTGTTATTCGGCGTTTCGACATTGGGCGGGAAGGGGGGGAGGGGGGGGGGGCCTGGCTCCAGACCCCTGCTTAGTGCGACTGTTTGCAAGAGTGATGCCTCTGGGGGAGACTCCACCTGCTCGAAACAGGCGCCAAAAAACAGCCAAGATCTACTCCATGGGGAGGGGGGGAGGGGGGGGGCGTGAGGGCCCGCGCCGATCGGCAAAACAATGAATATAAGAAAACGACTACATGGCTCCACTCCAATTTTCAGGCCCTCGTTCGATACGCGGAGCCACCTTGTCTTCCGCAGGACGAGCCTGTTGCTGCGCTGTGTCTCGCTTCAAGTGCCCCGCCCGAGACGGCGGCGGCACACCAAGGCGAGTACGCAGAGATGCTTCGGCTCCCTTGACTGAGACGGCAGCGCAGATCCAGGAGGAACTGACCAAGTGCGTCACACATTTTGCTGGGCAAGCCCGCGGGATCAGCCAAGGGGCTCGAAGGACGCGCCTGATCTTCGATGAGCCTACCTCCTGGCGACCCACTAACACTCTCAGTGGGTTTGGTAGTTTGGTGTCTGACCCTCAGGAGCTTCTCAGAGCCGAGCGTGACAAGTTTGCGGCTCTTTGCAAGGCTCAAGGCCCAATGGAGGAGACTATTCATTCCGCCTCCAGGACCTTCTCTCGTAGGTCTGCGAAGGGTCTCGACGACTTTCACTTGAGGCGCTAACAGCATTATCGAAGGACTGTGACTCCCTGGAGTGCTTGTCGCGACTCTTCCAAGTGGTGGGATCGGCCGGCCCTCCCCATCGGCAAATTAGAGCGTCCATTGTGGCCTTGATCCCCGAAGCTGTTCCTGGTTTTCGGCTCATCGGGGTGCCTTCGAGCCCGTACCGCCTCTGGGGGCGGACACGTCGGCCCCTGGCGGAGGCGCTTGGGAAGCCTCCAACGAAAGGCACAACTGGGCTGCTAGGAAATTCAGGTCGGCCACGGACACCGTCTGGAGGCAGACTGTCAAGGACGAGAGTAGTACGCTCGCGGATCCCATCCAGGAGCTCGTTTGAGGGACATGCGTATACACTATGAGCAGATTTCCCCCTGGTGTTGCTGGAGCAAAGGGGCCGCAGGCTTAACTTTGATCCTGTGGTGCGTCGTGTCTGCATGTGCACCTACTGGTCGGCACGCCATAGTTGGCGTGGTGGCGGGATGCTCGATGGCGACTACCGAAATCAGAATGTTCCTGGCACGCCGCTGGACATAATCATTGACGACACGGGTCTCACGTCGGAAAGCTCAATTTCGGGGATCTCCTGACCGGGGTCAATCCAGACCCGGATCAATCAGGCCTTGCAAGACCTTGCGGAATCCTGCATGATCTTGCACCCAAACCCGGGTCAGTGCGACCCTGGCCCTACAGGAACCTGCAAGATCCGGTGCTTTGACTGACCCTCGTTTGCATTGACCCCAGTCACTTTGAGCCCCGACAGTTGATCAGATAGTTTCACAGTGCGAGTTCAACTGCGGAGGCGCACAAGCGGGCCACCACGGAGATGAGATAAACCAACATGTACATCGATAAGGTCGCGTCTGCTTCTTCCTCCAAGGTTGTTACTTCCCGTCTCCGGGACGAGAGATGGGGCCCTAGCAGCGACGGTCAGCCTCGTTCTGGATGTCCCTGCTGGCACGTCTGGAAAGGGTCGGGGGGAAGGACCGCTCAGGAGGAGGCCCGCCTCTCGGCCGCCACTCCTGGGACCCGTCACTCAGTGCTCAGCGCGAAGTGCTGGGGACGCGTGCTGCTGAGGGCTTCACTGCTGGCCCCCTGGCGGGGCTGCGGGACGGCTCGGGTTCGGAGGCTTGCTGCACCGACTATGGAGCCCTCGCGTTTGGGCAGAAGCCACACTAACTTTACACATGCGTCTTGAGAATGACCCTGCCTGGTTTGGCACTGCTGCGCCAGTTCTAAGGTCGTGCAAGGAGTCGTGGTTGCTGCAATCGAAGGCCACTCAGTGGTCCCTTTCCTGGTCTCAATTTCGTTCGGATCGGGAATTCACCTGGAGGCATCCCCCGAATACGAAGAGATCTGTCAAGAGCCTTATAGGAAACATGTATTTATCATCATAGAGAATTGGCTGGACGATGCCTGACACAGTCACTATGACGGATCATAATGGTACTCATGTTCTTCTCCCCCTCACTTCCCCCGCTATTTTCAAGCGCTTACTTCTTAAATGAATTTGAGTCGCGCCCTGAGTACGGGATAGGAGAGCGTGTCTGTTTTGATGTTGTTATTCGGGCGCTCGCGCCAAGGTAGCTGACTGCGAGCAAAAGGAGCGGTTCGTGCAACAACTTGTCAGGCGGTCTGGCCTCTCAACAGAACTCTTCTTGGGGTACCTGATCCGGGACATGTCCCCACTGTGCATTCAGATTGGTGACACAACTATGCCTCGTCGTTGGTCCTGCCCGTGCTACGAGGAAGACCGCATCAGACTGGCAGGGCATCCCCTCTCTTGCCCCGTGCAAGGGAGGAGCTCGAGAGCCCACCCCCCCGGCTTCGAGCTGCTGTGCACCTGAGCGCCATGCTGCGAGGCGAGGATTTCTCCAGATCCACCGCCTGGGAACCGACGTCCTGGTGCCCCAGCGGGCGGTGGACATGGATGCATTTTGGCCCCCTTGGGGCCCTAATCTGTCCGCCACCAGAGAGAAACTCATTCCCCCGTGGGCTCTATATAGCAAGAGAGCTCACAGCCTAACATGGTACAATGCTCTTTCTCCGAGGTATCAGCCCATCGCTTAATGGGTCACAGCAAGTCATCCAGGGCATCGAACTTGCCCCCTCTGGGCCCTAACATGGGCCTTGTCCTGCAACGTCTTACACCGCTAGTGCGACGGGGCGGGCGCTCTTGAGACGGACCGATCGGGGGATCCACAGCCATCGCGGGGGATCCTGAACGAGAGCACGCGGAGCTTCGCAACATCCGCAGCAACAATTGAGCCTCACGGAGACGTGAGAGTGGAAGGTGGGCAAGAGGGCATTTTGTGGTCGCTTGGAGGCGGGGGGGTTTGGAACTGGACCCCCTCCCCCCCCCGTGAATGGAGGGGGGGAGGTTCGAACCCCCTTCCCCCCCCCTCCCCTACTTCTCCTTTCTCCCTCTCCTCGGCTGGCGGCGGCGGCGGCGGGGACGACGATTTCCTTTTCTGGGCCCCGACGCCGGCGCCTGCGGCGGCGGGCGGCGGCGGCGGGGAGCGTCGACGAGGACGAGGGTGGTGGTGATGGTGGTTGGTTGATAGTGGTGGTGGCGGTGGTGGTGGTGGCGGTGGTGGTGGTTGTGGTGGTGGTGGTGGTGTGGTGGTGGTGGTGTGGTGGTGGTGGTGGTGGTGGTGGTTGGTTGTGGTGGTGGTGTGATGGTGGTGGTGTGGTGGTTTGTGGTGGTGTGGGTGGTGGCGGTGGTGGTGTGGTGGTGTGTTGTGGTGGTGGTGGGTTGTGGTGGTGGTGGTGGTTTAGTGGTGGTGTGGTATTGGTTGGTGGTGGTGGTGGTGGGTTTGTGGTGGTGTGCTGGTGGTGGTGGTGGTGGTGGTGTGGTGGTTTGTGGTGGTGGCAGACTGAGGTGGTGGTGGTGGTGGTGGTGGTGGGTTGTGCTGCTGGTAGTGGTGCTGGTTGTTGCGGTGGTGGCGGTGGCGTGGCAGACTGAGGGGGTGGCGGTGGGGTGGCAGACTGAGGGGGTGGTGGTGGTGGTGGTGGTGGTGGCGGTGGTGGTGGTGGTGGTGGTGGTGGTGGTAATGGTGGTGGTTTGTTTTTGTGGTGGTGGTGGTGGTGATGGGTGAGTCATGGTTTGGTGGTGGTGGGTGGTGGTGGTGGTGTGTGGTGGTGTTGTGTGGTGGGTTGGTGGTGGTGGTGGGTTGAGGCGGTGGTGTGGTGGTGGTGGTGGTTGTGGTGGTGGTGGGTTAAGGTGGTTATCGTTGCGTTGCGTCCCCGCCGTCGCTGGCGCCAGCGCTGGCGCTGCTGGCCGCCGTCAGCGCCGGCGCCAGCGCCAGGGGGGGGGCTTTGAACCCCTCCCCCCCCCTGGCGCCAAGGGGGGTGGGTTTCACCCCCCTTGGGCTGCCTCTGGTCATCGTCTCTGCGTCCCCGCCGTCGGCGCTGCTGGCGGCCGCCGGCGCCGGCGCCGGGGGGGGGAGGTTCGGGAGGGGGTGGGTTTGGGGGGGGGAGTCCACCTGGCTTTGATCGACCGAGTGTTGGGGAGGGGCCCACCCACCAGCTCGAAACGCGCCGCCGAATGTTTTCAAGGCAAGCGCCCGTGAAACGCGTTCTCTCGGTGGCAGACTCGATGTTGAGGGCAGCCGAGCTCACAGCTTTGGCGAGCGCCCCCCGAGACGACGAGGTTGTCGCACGTCGCACCGTCAGCCGCCACCAGGGGGGCTGGAAGACTGCGCACGAACTCGCATTCGTGCAACACTCCGGGCTCGAGGTCAAAATCGCCTACAATCATGCAGGGCACCCCACACACTGACAGAGAGGCCCCCGAAGATCCCCACATGTCCAGCTCGAGCTCGCCCAGGCCCGAAGAGCCCCGTGAGGCGGAGAGCAGAGAGGAGGGGTAGGCTGACTCCGAGGAGGGTGGACAATGCCAGCAGTGGCCCTGTGAGGCCATACGCATCCATGCAGACCCATCCAAGACCTGGTCAAGATGGCCACTCTTCAGGAGAGGCCTCCACCTTCTCCCGTACATGAGTGAGGCACCAGTGGGATGCCCTGCTGACGGGGTCGTCTTTCAGGAGCCTGCGTTCTTGGATGAGCACGGCGTGAGCAGAGCACTGAGGAAGCCACTCCTTGATGGAGGACTAATTACGCGTTTCCACTGAGGGATTCTACCCCAAGGGAACCAATCCTCCAGGGAGGAGGCTGTTGGGCTGTCGGAGTGGCTGAGGGCGGCAGCAGCAGGAGCATCAGCCGTTTTGGCTCCAGCTGGTTTTTGGAGCTCGAGGCCAATTTTAGGTTTCTTGTTCTACCGCCTGCACCCCGCCAGCCAGCCATGGCGCCGGCCATGTCGAAGAGGCACGCCGCCCTGCTGGCCGGGGGCGCGGCGCTCGGGCTGTGGACGGCCGGCAGCGCCTTCGCCCCGACCATCCAGGGCACCCCGACGAGGTCGTTGGCGGAGGCCCGCAGCCTGCGCGGGGCGGCGGCCGCCGCCCCGGAGGGCCCCGTGTCCTCAGTCGCCGCCGCTGCCCTGGCCTGTGGCGCCGCCTCAGTGGCCCTGGCTGCCTCCGCCGCCCGCCGCTCCAAGCAGGTCGCCCCTGTCGCGCGCTGCGCCTTCGAGAGCGAGCTCGGAGTCCAGGCGCCCGTGGGCTACTGGGACCCCCTGAACATGGCGGGCGACGGCGACGCGGAGGACTTCGCGCGGAGGCGCGAGTCGGAACTCAAGAACGGCCGTGTCGCCATGTTCGCGTGCATGGGCTACATCGTGCCTGAGTACTTCAAGTTTCCTGGCTATTTGGCGCCCTCTTCAGACCTGAAGTTCGTGGACGTTCCGAACGGCCTCGCGGCCGTCAGCAAGGTACCTGCCGAAGGCTGGCTGCAGTGGCTCGCCCTGTGTGGCTTCTACGAGACCTGCGTGAACGGCGAGTCCAAGCCTGGCGAGCCAGGCAACTACGGCAGGGGCCGCCTCGGCTTCACTGGCACCAGCATCGAGGACCCCGAGGGGCGCAAGAGGTCCCTGAACTCCGAAATCGCCAACGGGCGCCTGGCCATGGTGGCCATCATCGGCATGTTCTTTCAAGACGGTCTGACCGGCTCCGCGTGGGGCGACTGGGATGTGTACCACGGCGTCGCAGTCCAGAGCGGCAAGATGAGCCCTGGTTACAACACGCTGCCGGAGTGGGAGGGCGTCGCGAGTGGCTTCGAGGGCTCGGTCGGAGACCAGGAGCCCCTGGGATTCTGGGACCCCGCCGGCTTCACAAAGGACGGGGACGTGGAGAAGTTCAAGCGCCGCAGGGAGGTGGAGCTGAAGCACGGCCGCGTCTCCATGCTCGCGACCATCGGCTACATCGTGCCCGAGTACTACAAATTCCCTGGCTACCTGTCGCCCTCCCAGGGAATCCAGTTTGAGGACGTCCCCAACGGCCTGGGCGCTCTGTCGAAGGTGCCCCCGGCGGGCCTCGCCCAGTTCGCGGCCTTCATCGCCTTCCTCGAGCTGGTGTACAACAAGCCAAGCGCCGAGCCAGGCAACTACGGCAAGGGGAACCTGGGCCTGGGCTCGCTCGGCCTCGGGGGCTCCATCACAGATCCCAAGCTGAGGGCGAAGAAGCTGAGTGCTGAGGTTTCGAACGGGCGCCTGGCCATGGTTGCCATCATCGGCATGTTCTTCCAGGACGGTCTGACAGGCTCCGCGTGGGGCGACTGGGCGCTCTACACGGGCAGCCCGCTGCGCAGCGGCAAGATGGCATGATTCGGTACGCGTTGAGGTGGTGCGTGGAGGGGTATTCAGAAGCCATGATTTTTTAGTCGCGCCCGCGATGAAGGGTCAGGATCACCATCATCATCATCAGCATCATAATCATCAGCATCAGCATCATCACCATCATCACCATCATCATCATCATCCTCATCATCATCATCGTCATCATCATCATCGTAAGTATCGTTATCATCATCATCACCATCATCATCATCACCACCACCACCATCATCATCATGCACCCTCGCCGAGCCTGGCCGGCGGCGCCTGGGCGCAGGCTGGGACTGGCCAGGATCGGTGGAGGTGTGTCTCGGAAAGGGGGTTGGTTAAGGAAGGTGCCCAAGCGGCCTCCGACCCTGGAGTTATCTGAGAAGGACGGCGGTCACATCTGTGGCCAAGCCTCCACGGGTGTTCCACCAGCTTCCAGCCCCTGGATTCCTGATCCGGTAGTTTTAGATCCCATACCCGCATAGTGGTCAATTTCCCTCCCCCTTCACTGCTTCCTTATCTGAAGAGGGCGGCGGTAATCTTCACCGCCCATCCAACCACCCCAACCCAACCCAAAGGCTCCGATGTGTCCTCCAGTTCCAGTGGGGGGGGTGTTGGGGAACATTGGGAAAGCACGTGTGGAACTCGTCCCCCCCCCAACCCGAAATTCGGATTTTCGGGTCAGGTTGGGGTGGTCTGGTAGGTTGTTAGTTAAATATGAATGGCCAAGCCTCCATTGGTGTTCCGACAGCTTCCAGGCCCTGCATCCCTTATCCGGTAGTTTTGCATTGCACGCCCGCACCGTAGTCAGTTCGCCTCCCCCTCTCTGCTGACGCCCACGTTTTTCGAAAGGCCATCTTTGGGCTGGGAGGGCAGGATGGGGAGAAAAGATCATATCATCCGTCTCAACGCGTAGGTTGAGGATGTCTATTGCACAGTCGTAGCCCGCATAGTAAGGATGGGCAACCTTCCCAAGGGTACCCTTGCATCCTTCCCTCCTCGGTCCATCCTTGGCCACTTTCGCTGGCCGCGCCCCGCTCGAACAGCTTCGGGATGGCCTTTCGAGGCCCTTGCACCCTTGTTGTGCGTCCTCATGATACGGGTTGGCTGAAACGCTTAGGTCGAGGGCGTGTATTGTTTCACAGTTTTTGCCCGCATCTCCTCCCGCCCCCTCCCCGCACTAGAGCTGTCCTTTCCCCCCCCCTGCAGGGCGGCGGCCTCTGTGCCCCGAGGGCGTCTACTGCACGGTCGTGCCCCGCACCTCCTCGTTCGCCCCCTCCCCGCGCCAGAGTTGCCCCCCCCCCTCCCCCCCTGCAGGGTGGCGGCCTCGGTGCCCCTCGCGGGCGGCCCCGCAGCGGACGCGGCCCTGCGGGCCGAGCGGGAGGCGGGGCGCTCCGCGCGGGGGGGGGGGGGGGGGGGCAGCGCGCAGCCACCAGGGGCGGAGGGGGCGGAGGGGGGGGAGGAGCGGGGGGAGGGGGAGGAGGGAGGGGAGGGCATTTTCCGTGGCCTCTGCGCCTTTCGCCCTTTGCAGAGGGACCAGTGTGGGGAGGGAGGGGGAGGAGGACCTTCTCACCCCTCCCTCCATGCAGCCAGCGCGCGTATATAGTAAGGAGGGGGGGCAGCGCGCAGCCACCGAAGTGGCGGACGGTCGGGCGGCTTGTAATGTTAAGTCGGGCATGTCCCTCTGCAGGAGGAATGTTCAAAACTAGTCCAAATATAGTCTGGGGATGATTTTCGTCACTGTTATGGGATAGGTTTGATCATTTTTCGACTATTACTTATGTTTCCGACGGAGCTGGGACGAGGATACATCCGTTCCAGCGCGGTCCAGGACGCGCCCAGAGTGTTTTGGAACGCTCTGAGTAGGCCGCGGCGCCCGAGACGTCCTCAGAGCGGCCGGATCCCAGAGAGATTTTCGGTTCACGAGTCATTGAGAACAAGACGACCCCTAACCCTGATAACACGATTAAGTCGTGGCCTCACTGAAGCCCCCGTCTTCACAGCAGGCATCATCAATCTGGGCGTTTTGGCATCAGGATCATCGGTACATCCTCAGAAAAAACAAAAAACTATCCCTGATGTTTCTGGCCCTCCCAACTTAGGTCCCCTCGGGTTTGGACAGAACCCCCACCCTGACACGTCGATTCGTGAATTGTCCGTTTTCGGTTCTCAAGAGGGCGCCGCGGCCGTCAGTTTCCAGGCTTGCGCCCGGCAGGTTTGGGCCCGAGGTCGTTTTCATTCAGCCACGTTTTACTAAAGGGGGTTCTGTCCATCCCCAGTCCCCTCCCAGAGGGCTAAAGTTAAGTCGGGCGTGTCCCTCTACAGGAGGAATATTCAAAAACTGTCCAACAATAAATATTCTGGGTATCGTTTGACTATTTTCAGGTATCGTTTGATTATTTTGGTAAATTTGTGTTGACTATGTTTCATTCCTCCTTCCAGAATCCGCCTGTAGGAGGACTCGCCCGACCTAAGGCTAGGGTTTTTTCCTGGTTGATCCACGAGCGCGCTCGGCGGGGCCGCGCACCGAGAGCGCGGAGGCTGCTCGTCAGGGCATGCCCCCGGGGCTTCTCTTCGTTCTCGTCGCGCGCTTGTCGCGGCATCGCCTCCCGCGGCCGTCGGGGTTGTTCTGGGCTTCCCCCCCCCCCAGTCGCGCCTCTCCTGGGCCTCCCAGATGGGGTCCCAGTAGGTGGGGTCGGAGGATCGCGCCGCATCGCCGATGCATCGGCGACGCGGCTCGATGCGGAGTCCGATTTTCTCAATACTGGCGTAGGCGATGCACCGCCGATGCATCGGCGATGTGTCGCCGATGTATCGGCGATGCGGCGCGGTCCTCCGACCCCATCTGCTCCGACCCCATTTAGGAGGCCTCTAGGCTTGCTCCAGGCTCCCCCCCCCAGTCGCGCCTCGCGCGCGGGTCCTGAGAGCGCTGGGTTTCTTGCAAGGGTCAAGTCGGACATGTCCCCGCCCAGGAGGACTGTTCGAGAATAGTCACAAAATAGCATGATGACGATTTTCTGGCTTCTCTTCGTTCTTGCATAGTTTCTGTTTCGTTGTTATCTAAAGGCTGCCGCCTCTGCCGCCGACCCCAAAGTTGGCTCATGATGATTACTGGCAGTCGACGACGACGAGTCAAGGCACTCAGGCAGGTTGATGAGAGTTAGCCGATGCAGATTTTAATTTCGGGTGTTCGTACCCAGACAGGCTAGCGTCTTGAAAACATCCAGACGTGAGGTTCTGGTCCGTTTTCGGCGTCCGCCAGATCAGAGTGAAGAACCAGTTCTGGATGAAGAACCAGTTCTGGGGAAGAGGTCCAGACCTTCGGGGAGCCACGTTTGACACAATCACGACGCCGGATGTCTGGGGAGGGGAGAGGCATACGGATCGAGTCCAGGCAATCAGGCCGGTCGATGGAAGTACGTCGGTGCAGTTCTTTCTCGGGGCTTCGTTCAAAAAGTGTTCGAAAAGAGGGGGTCGCGGATCGAACCTACCTGGGTGCTCATGAATCCTTCGTTCAGCGGCCACTCGGAGCGGTTTCCCTCTCACCCCACTTTGTCCCTGTTCTACCCTTCGTCCCCACCAAATGTTTGTGTGTACTATGGGGCCAGGTGGGGGGTGTCGGTAGTTTTTTGGGTGGGAAATCGTGGGGTCTGACTCCCAAGAGCAGAGGCCAAAAATCCTGGGGATGTCGAGGGGGGGCGGAGGCCAGGTGGAGGCCAGGTGGGGGCCAGGTGGAGGCCAGGTGGGGGGTATCGGTTGTTTTTGGGTGAGAAATCGCGGGGTCGGGGGTCCCAAGAATGGAGCCCACAGGCCTGGGAATGTCGAGGGGGGGTGGAGGCCAGGTAGAGGTCAGGTGGGGGGTATCGGTTGTTTTTGGGCGAGAAATCGTGGGGTCGGGGGTCCTAAGAACAGAGCCCAGAGGCCAGGGGATGTCGAGGGGTGGTGGAGGCAAGGTGGAGGCCAGGTGGAGGCCAGGTGGAGGCCAGGTGGGGGCCAGGTGGAGGCTGGCCTGGTGGGGGTATCGGTTGGTGTTGGGCGAGAAAGAAATAGCGGGTGGGCGGGTGGGTGTCCCAAGGACAGAGCCCAGAGGCCTGGGGATGTTTTGCCGAGGGGGGGGAGGCAGGTGGAGGTCCAGGTGGGGCCAGGTGGAGGCCAGGTGGAGGCCAGGTGGAGGCCAGGTGGGGGGTGTCGGTTGCTTTTGGGTGAGAAGTCGTGGGGTCGGGGGCCCCAAGAACAGAGCCCAGAGGCCTGGGGATGTCGAGGGGTGGTGGTGGCCAGGTGGAGGCCAGGTGGAGGCCAGGTGGAGGCCAGGTGGAGGCCCGGTGGGGGGTATCGGTTGTTTTTGGGCGAGAAATCGTGGGGTCGGGTGTCCCAAGAGCAGATCCCTGGGGATGTCGAGGGGTGGTGGTGGCCAGGTGGAGGCCAGGTGGAGGCCAGGTGGAGGCCAGGTGGGTGGTATCGGTTGTTTTTGGGCGAGAAACGTGGGGTCGGGGTCTTAAGACCAGGCCTGGGGGATGGGCGAGTGGTGGTGGGTGGCCAGGTGGAGGCCAGTGACGAGGCCAGGTGGAGGCCAGGTGGAGGCCAGGTGGAGGCCAGGTGGGGGGTATCGGTTGTTTTTTGGGCGAGAAATCGTGGGGTCGGGGGCCCCAAGAACAGAGCCCAGAGGCCTGGGGATGTCGAAGGGTGGCGGTGGCCAGGTGGAGGCCAGGTGGAGGCCAGGTGGGGGCCAGGTGGGCGGTATCGGTTGTTTTTGGGTGAGAAATCGTCGGGTCGGGGGTCCCAGGAACAGAGCCCAGAGGCTTGGGGATGTCGAGGGGTGGTGGTAGCCAGGTGGGGGCCAGGTGGAGGCCAGGTGGAGGCCAGGTGGAGGCCAGGTGGGGGGTATCGGTTGTTTTTGGGCGAGAAATCGTGGGGTCGGGGGTCCCAAGAACAGAGCCCAGAGGCCTGGGGATGTCGAGGGGTGGTGGTGGCCAGGTGGAGGCCAGGTGGCGGCCAGGTGGAGGCCAGTGGAGGCCAGGTGGGGTGGTCGGGTGTTTTGGGCGAGAAATTCGTGGGGTCGGGGGCCCCAAGAACAGAGCCCAGAGGCCTGG